CAGTACTTCCTCAAAGTCGGACTGATTCCGGTCAAGTCAGCCGACTCGCCGTCATCCATTAGCCACTCAAAAAGCTGCCTGAGGTCAGGATCAGCTTGCTGGGCAATCGCCCAGGTCCCATATGTCCAGTCCCTTCGCTGAACCAAGGGTCCAGGAACGGTAGGAGCCACTTCTGTAACATTCATCACAGGTTTGGTCTTCTGTCTGGACAAGCCATCTGCGTTTGAATGAGCCTTGCCCTTTCGATATTGCAGATCATACTCGAATTGACTGAGGAACTCCAACCACCTGGCGACAATCGGCGCTGGTTCTTTGAAGTTGTCCAAATGCTGCAATGCTTTGTGATCCGAGCGGACCAAGAAGCGCTTGCCGAGCAGGTAACACCTGAAGTGATTAAACGCCCAAACTACACCCAGCAGTTCGCTTTTGGTAGAAGCGTACCTGCGTTCCGATGCAGATGTCAATCGACTAGCAAAGGCAATGGGTCGTTCGACCCCCTTCTCATCTTGCTGTGACAAAACAGCACCCAATCCCGTACCACTGGCGTCAACATCCAGAATGAACCTCGGAGCATCAGGTCCATATTGTGGATATGCCAGGGTTGGTGAAGAAGTCAACCGACTCTTCAACGTAGCAAATGCCTCTTCACACTCCTCGGTCCATACGAACGCATGGCCTTGTTTAGTCAACTGAGTGAGGGGTTTAGCAACATCCGAGAAGTTCGGTACGAACCTTCGATAGTAGCCACAGAACCCCAAAAATGCCCGAATTTCCGCTACATTCGTAGGGTGCTCCCACGTAGCCACGCGGTGAGTCTTTGCCTCATCAGTGCTCACACCCTCTTCCGAGACCACATGGCCCAGAAAATCCACCCTCGTACGCAGCAAGAAGCATTTGGATGGTTTTAGACGCAACCCTGCGTCCAATAGCCGTTCAAACACCGCCTCGAGCCGCTCTAAGTGTTCGTCAAAAAGTCTTTGCAAACACAATCACATCATCGAGATACACGAGGCAAATCTGCCACTGTAGCCCACGCAAGACAACACTCATAAGTCTCTGGAACGAGCTTGGACCGTTACACACACCGAACGGCATGACTGTAAACTGGTAGTGCCCATCTGGAGTGGAGAAACCCGTTTTCTCCTTGTCTTCTTCTGCCATAGGCAGCTGATGATAGCCGGAACACAAATCCAAGGTGGAAAAGTACTTCGCGCCACTCAGCGCGTCCAACGTATCATCAATCCGTGGGAGAGGATATGGATCCCACTCCGTAACGGCATTCAATTTGCGATAATCAACGCAAAATCGAGTTGAGCCATCCTTCTTCTTAACCAGCACTATTGGCGAAGACCAAGGACTAGTAGAATCCTCTACCACCCCTTGTTCCTTCATGCCCTTCACTAGTTCACGGGTGGCTTCCCTTGAGTTCCAAGGCAATCGCCTAGGAGCCTGGAAGATAGGACTTCTTCCTTTGGTGTTAATGTTGTGGTTTTGCACAGTCGTGCGACCCAATTCAGCAGAGTTCATCGCGAATACCATCCGGTAGCGACAGACGAGATCACGCAAGCGTGCCAATTCCTCATTCCCAATTGACCCTTGCCCACCAGGCTGAACACGAGACGTCTCCCGGTTCGCCTCCGCTGTGCCCTCACCAGGTTCATAACCGAGCTGCAGCTCGTCATCCCCCGACACAGACTTCCCACTCACAGGACCTTCTAGTCCAATGTTGAGCGCCGAACATAAGTCTTCGGAACTTCCCGAATCCCCCGTGGATTCCATTCCTATATGATCGCAATCATCCTCGTCTTCGCCCATGACACTCATCACGGCTGAAATAGGTAGCAGCTGTCCCACTCGGGCACCTCTTCCTAAAGATACTGACTCCTCTGAGCAGTTCAATACCCGAACGGGTACACCCTCATCTGTTGGACAAACAACCGCTCGTGCCAACAAAACATCCCCACCATCGATCAGACAGCCGTCTGGTTCGGTGATGCCACATGAAGGAACATCCTCCTTGTTCTCGATAACGGCAGCCACCGTCATCTCACAGTATGGAGGTATAACTACCCTATTCTTCAATCGAAGATTATGGCAGCGTTGTGATGTTCCCACCGTTGAAACTTCAGCCTTATCAGCCTTGAAGTTCAATTTCCCATCATTCGACGTGATCTCGCAAGGTATCTGCGATAGTACATCCCTCTCAATCAGGCAATGATACCGCAACCCTCGAATCACCTTCATCTCATGGACACAAATAGCATCCTGTATTGCCAAACATGCAGCGACCGTGCCACACACATGCAACCTCTGACCATCCGCACCGCAGAAGCCAGTCGACTTCTCTGGTGGTTCCAGGTCGCCCAACATGTAGCCCAACTGCTGCGAGAGGGTCTCAGAAATTAGACTTACTGAGGAACCCGTATCTACCAGGAACTCTACTGGCAGCCCATTAATCCTTCCCTCAATCATCATACCTCCGTGGTTTTCTGCTGCCCTGCTCAATGCAGCGACCACTTCAGAGTCATTCTCTAGAGCATCCGAGACAATCGCCTCAGTTTCTGGACCCAGCACAGTTTCTTGATCGCAGACGCGGCCCGCCGTCTCGATCAATGCCCGTTTCCCGCCGGTCGGCGAGATTGGTACTCCCTTCCGGGTTTCATCAAGTCTGGACAGTCAGCTCTTCTGTGTCCCATTCGGCCACAGAACCAGCAAGTCAAACCCCTCGATTGTTCAGGCCTATAGTGGTCAACTCTGTCCACTTGGTCCCCTCTCCTGAATTGTTGGTTCGGCCTAGGAGGGTGGGCAATCCTGTCCACCTGATCACTAAGCTTCTCCACCAACTTTGCCAACGACTCCAACGTAGGGAGCTCTGACGGTGCAACCGCAGCCGTCACCAATTGACGTGGTACGCCATACGCATCGTCCATTCGGCCGTGCGTGCCCTCGTTCCCCCCCCACTCTCTCCAGATGGTTAGCCATCTCGATCGTTTCCTGCACCGTTCGTGGTGCATTTTCCTGTAAGCGCAATCGCAACCTGTCAGGAGTCATGGAATCAATGAGCTGATCCCGCACCAACTCTTCTTGTACGTCTCCACCCATGGTCGGGTAAGCCCTGTGTACAAGACTACGCAAGTCGTCAGCCAATCGACTGACGTCTTCCTCAGGCTTGCGCCTTCGCGTTCTAAATTGCGACTTAAATTGGCGGGCTGTCTCTGGTGGTGCAAACCTCCTCGACAAGTCCTCTACGACCTGAGGCCACTCCACTCGGGGGGCTTCAGGTACAGTCGCAACAAATTTTTGTGCAGCCCCTCTTAGCCGTACGGCTAAGTATTGAGCCTTTTGCACGTCATTCCACTCGTTCACACGAGCACATTGGTTGAAGTACTGCAAGTACTCCACCCAATCCCCCACGCCATCATATGCTTCAGGCATCACTGCCGGCCGTACCACCATTGGCACCCCCTGCAGCAGCGTTCGCTGCTGCATCCGGAGCCTGATTGTGAGCCATGATAATCAGAATCGAGTGCGTTCGCTCTCAACAGGATATCTTTGTCTTTTGCAATCGCAAGACTGTGATACCTTTTCCTTGCCCAGTTGCGCCTTATATTCCCCACTTGCTACTTCGTACGGTAGTCCTCCGACCAATGAGAGCTGTTCAGGTCACAAGTACTGCACAGTACATACGTTCGTATGTACTACAGTCGTCATCGGATCACACCATTCGCGTACGGGTCAGCAAAAATCATGGTCAAACTGGTCTGTAGTACGGTATGGTGTTCAACCGATCACCAGTCCGCGCCAGTTCAACCCTCCTCATCATCAAACTACAAATCTGTAGTACGATACGGTGTTCAACCGATCACCAGTCCGCGCGCCAGTCCAACCCGCATGCGCGAGAGTGTTGGCAGTTCTGCCAACACTCTCGCCTAGCCACATCCTCTCCAAAATAGGCAACTCTGCCTTCAACAAAGAGCAATCGCTCTACATTACGATCATTGTTTGCTGCCCGGCCGTCAAATCATTCGATCTGTTCGGTTTAGACAACAGCCCATCTGACATCAACCAAACATTCCAGCTTGTGGAGGCCTTCCGTAAGCAATCGCCTACAGAAGAACAGAACTTGGATCCTGGTCACAGCACCAAATATGTCGTGCCGGACATACACAATACCGATCTCAAGGCTACAACATATACATTCGCATTGCCGTAGTAACCCCACCAGGTCATCAACCAATATAGTTGATCCAAGTATCCATTCAGCCACACACGCTCACCTTGGTCAATCGAATAAGGTTGAGAGTCACTATGATTCCAGCTCGATTCAAGAGTGAAGGTCGAAGGAAGGTTGGTACTTTTCATCAGAAGCAGCAGGGGTTATATCGAGAACAAAAAGGATTGAGTTACACAAAGGAGTAGCAAAGGCGGGAAAACCCAACCAATCAGACCATAGAGAGCTTGTTGCTATGCAGAATTGACCAATGGGAGATGACAAGGAGAAATGCGTATTATTTATGAATTAACTAAACAGCAAGCGTATACGATAAGACAGTTAGCAGATACAACATCCCGCGGCCCATGCATTGATAAAAGTGACAAGTAGATACAAAAGACAACTGCCGTACAAACGCGCGCTCATGAGGGGAACACGTTCACCCAACATGTAAACTAGTACCGGCAGAGTAGTTAGTTCGTCGTACAACCCGGGGAAGTTCGTCGTACAGCCCGGGAGAACCCGTCAGCTGCCGAGGCCGATATGACACTTGCACATGTGCGTATTTGTGTGTATGTATGTGTGCATGTGTGTTTGCGTGTGTGTTCATGTATGTATGTTCATGTATGTATGTATGTATATATGTGTGTGCGTGTGTGTATGTGTCACAGGCAGCAGTTTCAAAGTGGGCAAACTTTGCAATATGGAACTCCTTGTTTTTGGAAAAACCTCAACCTTGGTGCTGGCGGTACCTCAATTTCGTCTGTGGTTTGTTCATCCGATGAAGATGGTCATGTGGACTTACCACTTGCGCTCAATTCCGTTCTCGACAGGCGTTTTGGAGGCCTTGGATGATATCCTCAGTGACCATTTCCTGCCGGCTTTGCTGGTTCATGGAATTGCGCAGGCCAGCCACCAACGTCGGCTAATGGCTTTGCCTGTCCGGCATGGGGGCCTCGCCGTCCCCATATTGTCGAAGACGGCGGCCGGGGAACATCAGGCCTCTGTCAGTGCCACTGATCCTCTGGTTCAGCTTGCGCTATCATCGCCTTCGCCTGACTGTGCTGGTGCGTCACTGCCTCCACCTGCGGGACCGCCTCTGCGTGATATTAACCAACCACCTATGGGACCACCCCCGCATCATTGTGCTAATATGTCACCGCTTCTGCCTGCTGGGTCGCCTTTGCCTGCCTGTGCTGATGCGTCGCTGCCTCGGCCTCCGCGGCCGCCTCCGCCTGACTGTGCTGGTGCGTCGCTGCCTCCACCTGTGGGACGGCCCCTACCTGGCTTAGACCAACCACCGGTGCGACTGCCTTCGCCTGACCGTGCTGCCGTGTCACTGCCTCCGCCTGCGGAACCGCCTCTGCCTGACTGTGCTCGTGCGTCGCTGCCTCCGCCTGGTCTAGACCAGCCACATGTGCGACCGCCTCCGCCTGATTATGCTGGCGCGTTGTCGCCTCCGCCTGCGGGTCCGCCTCCGCCTGATCTTGACTAACTACCTGATGCCGGATCGTTCTCTGCGCTGCGTGCGGAGCCTGCTGCCGTGGGATTAGGCGTTGAAGAGCCTGGCAAGACTAATCCTAGTGGCCCGTGTGGTGTCGCTGAGGCTGTTGCTGCGGTGCGTGCTGGGCTGCGCCGGGTGAGAGCACAGCGGGACCATATTTCGCGTGGTGTGCAGGCAGAGATTGGCCCTGGACTGTCTCTGTGCCAGCGGCTACTGTTAGAAACAGCGGGTGAGAAAGGCACCTCCAGCTGGCTGACCGCCCAACCGTCATACAATCAGCCAGTAACCATACTCAATAAATCTGATTTCCGGGATGCTCTCTGCTTCCGATACGGTTTGGAGCTGGATGGCCTCCCTGAGACTTGTGTTTGTGGAGCAACTCTAACCACTGAGCATGCAATGGCTTGTCCTACTGGCGGCTACACCATCGCACGCCATAATGATGTTCGCGATTTGCTGGCGGGTGTACTGTCGGAGGTATTGCCTGACGTGGAGGTGGAGCCGGTGCTAGCGCCATTTGATGGGGAGGACCTTCCCCATCGTACAGCCAACAGGAAATCAGAAGCTCGCCTCGATGTGAGGGCGCGGGGTTTCTGGTCCAGGCAGCAGGAGGCTTTTTTTGATGTTCGGGTGACTCACCCAAAGCCAAACCTGCTGTCGCGTCCAGAAGTCCAGCGCCATCTCCAAAAGCATGAAGGCATGAAAAAGCGGGAATACGGAGCGCGTGTTGTGAATATAGACCAAGGCACGGTCACCCCGTTGGTTTTCGCCACGAATGGCATGTGTGGCAGGGAGGCGGACCGCTTTCTCAAGTGTCTTGCAGCCCAGTATGTCGATAAACACAGTGACTTGGCCTACTCGCTGGTTATGGGTCGATTGCGGTGCCTGCTCTCGTTCACTTTACTCCGTTGGGCAGTGGTCTGTTTTCGTGGCTGCCGTAGCTCCTACCAGAAAAGTCAGTCAAGAATTTCAGGAGTTATTGTTTGATGAGTCGTTAGATGGAGGCCGGTGTTTGTGAGACTGCGATCATTTAATGTTTCTTCCTTAGTGGTGTAGGTAGATTCTGTTTTGAATGCATAATGGGACTACTTTTGTTTTGTAAGTCAATCTCATTCTCCACGCTTTGCTGTCATTTGGTTATGTTTTAAAATAGTTTTTATGACCTGATGTTTGTTTTTTATATTTGTAGTTCTATTGTTGACATCTTTTGTCTTTTCCTTGGGTTAAAAGGTTAACTTCATCCTCGTTTTATTATTGCCTTGTATTGGAATTTGCCCATAAAAGTGGCTACGGTGTGATAATGCATTTTTATATTTCGTGTTTTAACATTAATTTCAGAAAATTGCTCTTACAATACCTTGCGTTTTATATTCATAATATTGTTGCCCGTAAAAGCGGCTTGGTCACATGATGATGATGATGATGATGATGATGATGATGATGATGATGATGATGATTTTTTTTTTTTTTTTTTTTTTTGATCCCACCTTCCAACCCGCCAAATATTTTGATTTTGATAAAAACGATTCAAAGCCTCTCAATTATTTAGTACTACTTGATGTATATATAAGAATAATAACATTAGTTACACTTTCACACCAAACTAGCTCGGCGCAGCACCAATCACTGCAGGGGAACCCGACCCTCCACCATCGCCAACTCACGAAGCATGTTAACTGGACGATGACGGGCCGACCGAGCACCCCTGACACACAACACAGCGGAACGTAGCAGCGCGAATGACACCCGACAACGATAATAACTCATCAACGACGATGATGATGATGATGATGATTTTTTTTTTTTTTGATGATGATGATGCCACTTCTTTGGGCAAACAAAACACAATTTCCCAAGATGAAGGAGTGGAACCCTACACAAATAATAGTTTAAATGAATCCAACGCAAAGATCGTTTTTCCATGAAATACAACAATTGAACACAATTACATGCTTAAAGGCATGAAAGCAACAAAACAACAACAAAAGGGTAAGCGCCATACCAATCCCGCATGCACAGTCAGGACACAGCACGATACTTAACAAACTAGACCTGACTCGGCCACGGCAATCGAGACATCATGAAAACATCTCGCCGGATGGTGGTACCGTGACCGAGCCCCACGTATGCACAACACAGCAGCACGCAGCAAAGCAAAAGACAGCCGACAGCGGAGTAAACCAATGACCTGGGAATAGTGAGATCCCGATGACTCGGCCTGCATCTGGCACAGTCTCTTGAGGAACACATTGCACAGCCTCCCACAACCACCTTGCACAGAGAACACGAGAGGTGTGAAAGCGGCTCTTTCTACATTTGTGACTCTTGGCCCATATTCGTTCCACTTACGCCGCTCGTGCTGCTGGTACAATGCAGGAAGGGTTCTGGACCCGTAGGAAGGAGCATCTGGGCAAAATACCCTTACATCAAAAAAAGCTTCCTCCCCACGGGTCCAAAACCCTCGAGCGGCTATGTCCAGGCGCGCATCCTCTCGGCGGTTCGTTGACCGAAGAGGAAACCTCTCACCAGAAAGAGGTTGCAGCGCTGGTTCTGTCGAAACGGCAGTGCAGACTTCAGTCAATTCCCTCGCCAGCAGGTCACGTATCTCGTTATGACGAAGTGTCGGGAAGCCGCCCCTGGCGCAACATAGCTGATGCTCAACTGAGAACAGCTCACCACACACACAGGTTGCTGGTGTATTGGCTAGCGGCCATGCATATCTCAATGCCAGAGCATCCCGGAAGTCACGCTTGGTGAGACGAAAGCCATGCTCCGCCAGGGGCAGCACGCTCAGCCATGAGGATGATCCTTTCTCCGTGTGTTCTTCTATTCGTCGCTTCGTCATCTCATCGCTCGTGTCCACTATTTTGTTCCTGGCTGCCTTTGCGCGCTCCCGGTTTTCGGTGTGGACGACACGTTTTTTGTGACGCATTTCATCGATCATCCTCTGAAAGGGGGTACCAGCACCAGCAACATCAGCAGCCACATCCGGTCCAGGGTTTGAGTTGCCAGCGACCTCCCGCGGCTGCACCTCCGTTGCCGTCATCGTGGGAGTGGGAGACGCTCCACCACGGTCAGCAGTATCTGCAGAAGCCGGCACATCTCCAGCGAGAGAAATTGGATCGCTATCCTTAGCGAAATCGCCCAGAACCTCCTTCACCATAGGTCCGGACACTTGCTTGGAGCCCTGGTGCTCAAACCGTGGTCGAGTCGTGAGGTCCGGAAGGGCCATCCCACCATCCCGTGTCGGGAGCTTTAGAATATCAATGTCTTTCAGAGGCACGCTCGGTTGTCCCACGAGCTCCGGTAGAAGTGAGGAGTGAAGCTCCCGCTCCAACGGCGCCAAGTCCTCCGCAGAAACAGCCATAGTTCGAAACACATAGTTCCATCTGTTGACTAAGCCATGGGTCAACGCAGAGTATGCTGCATGCGGCTCTGATGCGGCATAATTTGCCAAAATCTCTGTATGTTTCACCCACTCTTCTACTTTTGTCTCTTTGAATTCTCCGAGGAATGCCTCAGTCCCGATAGCAGCGCCCAGATACTGTACGCCACGAGACTTGACGTGGATAGTTGTGTCACCAAAAGTCTCGGCAGCCAGGGACTCAAAGCCAGGCTTGACGAGTAGTTGCGTTTTTGTTTCGTTGATGTTGTAGCCGTATTTTTGGCCCTCTTCCTTAAGGAGGTTGTACCACTTTCGCAATGGGGAGAGCCCTCCGGCAGCTGCCGAGTCATCTGCAAACCATCCCTGGCACACATCTGCAACATTGGTTCCGACTGACTTGACGAGAGGGGTGAGAGCCGTGGCATAAATGGCCATCGCAAGAGGGTCACCCTGGGTTGTGCCCTCCTGTGACAATAAAGACTGGCCACCACGCACAAAGAGGGATGCAGGGTCTTGGTAAGTATTCAATGTTATTTGTGCTAGCGGGGGGCATACTCGAGCAATATTGTGCAATGCAGCGCGGCGATTCAAGCTATTGAATGCATTGCGAGCATCGACTAGCAACACTGCCTCAGCCTTTTCCGAAGCAAAGGCAGCCGTCATTGAGTGCACCATAGCCTCCACCCCAGCCGGGATGCCCGTGCAGGCCTGAACTGGTCCGCAGGCTTGCATAATGTCGGGTTTCATCAGAAACAATGCCGCCTTGGAGCACAGTCTACGAAACACTTCACATACCCCTATTGGCCGAACGCCAGGGTTCTTGTTGAGGGCAATGAGTCTGCAAGCTGTGTACGGTGTGAGTGAGCCGGAGGGGACTGAGTCGGTACAGATCAAGCGTGTGAAGCACGCCACTGCCTCACGCAGATCAGTAGATGCACCTTTGTAACATGTGCATAGCCGCCGCCAAGCATCCGCGTCCAGGCCGGAAGGACCCGCAGAACCGTGCAGAGAAAGGGCAGTGCGTTTGATCAACTCACCATTGACGCTGGCGAAGTAGATACTGCTGACATTGCCCGCCTCCTCCTGAAGCAGGATGTCCGGTGCTGCCGGTGCCGACCCCGGATGCTTCCCGACGAGAATTTCACGGACTGACTGGGATTGATGAGAATCAGAAATGATGTCGTCCATGCCCAAGACCGGTTTATCACACTTGGGCTTGGTTGCATTATCCAGCATTCTCAGTGCGCAGTGAACTCGGCCCTGTTCCATCAAGTGGCCAAACTCATGAGCAGGGTCTTCGCCACGCCTGGATCTCCGATTCTGCGATGTCTTGAGCATATGCTGAATAGCTCGACCCTCCTGCACTAGCTCCATATAGGAACCCTGGATCCATAAATTTAGTCTGCGACGAGTGTGGTCAGAGCACTCTGCGGCAGGGCAATTCCGACCTACTCGCTGGAGCACCAACGCTGGAAGCAGGAAGAAACGATATAGAGCAGTGGCTTCCGCTCCTCGGGACGAATTGAACTTTTGAAGTTCTGACGTGAGTGTCCGAACAAACTCTTTGCCAACACTGCCGGTCGGAGCCCGGAAGAGGTTCTTTTCC